GTTCCCAGTGGGTCCCATTGGAGGGGGTGGGAGGAGAGTCCGTGTGCCTGAGTATACGTAGGTTGGTGGGTATGCCTCCCCATCTGCCTAAGCACGCTCCGAACCCCAGGCTGCTGTGCCCCTAGGGCCAGCACACAGTAGATGTCAAAGAAATATCTAAGTAGGGGACCAAGAGTAGCTGGCAGAAGGGAGCTTGGGGTGGGGAGAGGAGTTTGTGAACCATCCCAAGGATACTGGCCACCTCCTCCACCCTTCCAGGTAGGAGGTGCTGTCCTGAGTCCCAGGAGACTACAGAATAGGAGCTGAGACTTTCCCAGAGCTGGGCTGGGCTCTGCCTCATCTTCATTCACACACAGAGCTGAACCGCCTGGATGTATCTCCACACCAGCATCATGTCTCACCTGTCCCTCCTCTACCCAAGCCACAGTGACATTCAGACCCTGCCATGCCCCCAGGAACACTTGAGGCCCTGAATCAGAATCTCCATGGGAGAGGCCTGCACAGGCACCATTAGCCAGGAACCAATTTGGAGCCCTGAACTCAGTTTCCCCCATCTAGAATGGCATTTCTTTGAGGAGGAGTAGGAGGGATCTAAATCATTCAGTCCTGGGCCTCCTTGCTCAGCCTGGAGAACCCCACTCTGGAAGTCGCCCCAGGCCCCAGGGCCAGCAAGGCTGGATAGAGCAAGGAATGCAAACCCAGAATGGGCTTTAAGCTCCTTCTTGCCCCAGACACCCAAGGCCAGCAAGGCTTTCTCTTCCCCAGGGTCTTTGGAGACTCCTTCCCTGAACCACCATCTCATCAGTGGCCTTGTTCTGCTCACATTTACTGATCAGGTGCCAGGGGTGGGAAGGGCATGGGCCTCCCCTAGAGCAAGCTCCAGGAGGAAACCTAGCTTTGTGTTGAAGCTTCGCCCTGCCATTTCTGCAGGCCCCATATCTGGAACCATTTCAGGCAGAAGCATAGGGCTGAGCTGCCCCTCTTTGATTCTGTGGCTATGGGGGAGAGTCATGCCCTTTGGGAGGCTGGGGGTCACAATGCATGGATGGCACTCTTCCTGAGGCTAGGAAAAGGGAGGAGAAGGAGCAGCAGAAATGGGCAGGGCTGGTGGAGGCTGGGCAGGATAGAGTTGACATATTTTCATACTTTGGGTTTTTTTTTTTTTTTAAGACTGTCTGGTTCTGTTGCCCAGGCTGGAGTATAGTGGCACAATCATGGCTCACTGCAACCTCGACTTCCTGGGCTCAAACCATCCTCCCTCTTCAACCTCCCAAGTTTCTGGGACTGTAGGCTCACACCACCACACCCAGCTAATTTTTGGTGTTTTTCATTTGTTTGTTTTTGTTTTTGTTTTTGTTTTTGTTTTGTAGAGATGGTGTTCTGTCATGTTGCCCAGTCTGGTCTCAAACTCCTAGGCTCAAGCAATCTGCCCACCTCGGCCTCCCAAAGTATTGGGATTACAGGTGTGAGCCACCATGCCCAGCCAGTTGAGGTAATTGTGTCTTGGTGCTCAGCACTGGATGAGGAGCAGCTCCTCCAATATGTGGGATCAGGGGGTAACTGCAGAAAGGATGCAGCAGATGACCAGCATCTTCATCCCGGAGGAAAAGAATCCAAGCTTCAGTCTTCCTAAACCTCAGTTTCCCCATTGCTAAAATGGGGATATTATTATACAGGATTCTGGGGAGGATCCATGATGAGAGGGTGTTTTGGCACAGGGCCAGCACATCCTAGATGCTCAGGATGGGGCAGTGGCTGCTGCTGCTAATACTATCACTGCTTTGTTTAAAACATAGCTGCTTCCACCAAAGCTGCCATCCAGCTAAGAGGATCAGGAAAACACACCCAAATCAGTCAGGGAAAGTGCAATCAGACACTGGAACTCTGGGAGGGGAGGATCCTGGAGGGCTGGGCAGTCAGGAAGAAGTTCTCAGAGGAAGTAACCTGGGACTGAACTTCGGAGATGGGAGAGTGAGGCCAGCCAGAGCGGTGAGGAGAGGGCATTCGAGGGGGGGCTGGCTGAGCAAAGCCCTGGAGACTGGAAGGGTGCCCTACAGGTCAGGTGGGCCTGAGCATGTGAGGAGCAAAGAGGCCAGCTGGGGTTGGTTGGTGCTCCAGGGGGCCTGACTCACCTGGAAAGACGAAGGCGAGACTGGATGCTAACTGCCACCTCTAAGGAAGGACTGTCTGCCCTGAGGCCCATCCCACCCAACCTGTGCTGCATCCCAACAGAAGCCCCAAGGATCTGCAGGGACCACTGATGCCCACCCCTTTGTATTCACCCCCTGACACACACCAGGGCTTCTAGAAATCAGGTGGCTGCTCCTTTCTCTTTTTATTTATTCCCTGGGTTTTTTTTTTTTTTCGTTTTCAGGAGACGATAATTATTCAGATCATCGCGGTGATTTACTCGGCAATCAGAGCCGCTCGATGCGGTGGCCGCGGAGCCGAGACAGACGAGCATCGCCTAGGAGGACAGGCCGGGGGCTCAGCCCCCCTCCCTCCCACCCAGCCGGCCTTTGTTCTCTTCGAGGTCTGCACCCGCGCTGCCTGGCGGGCAGTGGAGGCGCCCACCCGCGCGGACATGGCAGCAAGCTCGGGGGCTTAGAAAGGAGTGTGCACATGAGTGCATCCCAGGGAGGGGGATTTGGGGGCTCGTATGTTGCTGGGTGCTGGTCTGAGAATGATGGAGTACCTGTGTGCATGTTTGGGGGTGGTAGTGGTTGGGAGTGTACCAATGCATGAGCATTTCGGTCAGGTGTGTAATTGGAATGTGTGCACCTGTGTGATTACCGGGGGCCTAGGGTACATCTGTCTCCGCAGGCTTGTTCAGAAGTGCAATGGACAGGTGCCCAAATATGGGTATTTTAGGCACATAGCGGGGAGGAGAAGAGGGCTGGGGCTCCTGTGCTAAAGCTGTCTGAGGTGATCATGGAATCGCGGATGTGGCGGGGCTGGGTTCTAGCTCAGCCTCTTTGACAGTGTCTGGTTGGGGAGATGGGGTGGGGGCGGGGGAAGTGGGATGGGGACGGGGGAGTGTGAATCAGCTCAGCTCCAAATGCCGAGTTCTCCTGGGTCAATGCTGGGACCCCGGGGGTCACGTGAATACAGATGTGGCTCCGTTCACAGGCTGTGTTCACACGTGTCCGCAGACCTTCGCCCCCTCCCGTCCGAGGGCTGGCGCAGTGACGGTGACCTCATTACCGCCTCCGCAAAGGCCCCTTGAAATCCCTGCGCCGTCGCATTTGGCTGCTCAAAGTGATGGGAACGGCCTGCGCTTCCTGATCAATCGCTTAAAATTCAGGGTCGGCTCGCTCGCGGGAGAGGGCTGCCTGCCAGCCCCGCGCACCGCGCTCTGCCGCCTCCCCCTACACCCCCTCCTTGCTTGGGGGGGGCGATGCTGTCGTATTGGAAAACATCCCCGCGCTGGCTGGGGGGCCCGGTGGGGCCAGCGCTGGAAGCCGTTCCACTCGAGCAGATGGCAGTGAAACTTTGGCGGCGAGATAAATTGGGTCTGACGGCGTGAGGCCGGCTCACAGATGGGCGGGATTCTCACGCCGGCCCCCACGTCCGGCCCGGCTGCGGGCAGGGCCGACACCGCTCAGATCCCCCTTTGGGCACCCGCCTTGCCAGCACAAGCCTTCAGGAGGCCACCCATCCAGCAACAGCCTTCCTCAGCCGAAGGCGCCCTCCACCACATTCCTTCCGGCCCCAGATCTCCCCACAGACGAGCCTGGAGGGAGGGACAGCCCCCAGCCCCCGCCCGGTCACCTCCGCCAAGCTGGCAGCTGGGCTTTCCCCCTCCTCTGCCATCCGCAGAGGCCTGAAGCGTGAAGGTTAACAGCTGGGGGGGAGGCTGCGTCTCCCTCTCTCACCCCCGCTCTGCTGCAGCCCCGCCCACCTGCCAGCCCAGGGGATGTCGTAAACAGGGCTGTGAGGTGTGTGTGTGAGGCGGGGTGGGGGGGTGACTGAAGAGGGGGAGAGAAGAGAGAGTCAGACAAAGAGAGAAACGAAAATCAGCAAGAGGCGAGCGGAGACCTGAGCAGAGACCGAGGGGCAGAGACAGCTAGAGGCAGAGACACGCAGAGGAAGAAATGGAGATGGAGATGTGGAGATAGACACGGAGACACCCAGAGAGAGAAGGGAGGGAGGAGGAACCTCAGAGCCAGAGAGGAGACACACAATGAAAGTGGGAGGAGGGCGAAGGATCGGGCGAGGGGACGAGATACTCGCAGAAATGCAAGCGGCCTCGAGCTGCGGACGACTGTGGAGGGTGGGGACGAGCCGAGGTTGGTAGCAGGGTGCGACCCTGGACTACCCTCGCCCCCGCATCCCCGCACCCCCGCCGCCACCAGGGCTGGGAGCCAGAGCGAGGAGGGAGCGTCGCTGCCCCTGGCTGCGCCCTCCTTCGCTACGCCACTTGCCCGCCTCGGTTTCCCCGGGAGCGCTAGATGAAGGGAATGGCGGGGTAGGGGGCTGTGGAGCTCCGGGGGTGCCGCGCGGCCATCACTCTGCAGCAAAGCCAGCCTGTCTAGCTGCCTCCCTCGCGCATCAGTCCAGCGGGCAGATATCGATCTGGCCCAGCCAAGCTGTATACCCGCGGCCTGCGGCCGCTTCCGCGACGGTCCTACAAAGAAAGGGGGGCTCATTTCTCAGGCCTCCCTCGCGGGGGATTCTGTACCAGAACAAACCCCTCTGGGCCAGGGTCAGGGCGGCACACTCGCCCCCACCTGTCTCAGCGCGGTCCCATTCCGCGGGCCAGGTAGCGTGCGGCTGGGAGAAGGCTCGGGTGACCCCGGGCCCCGCCTCCTGCAGGGCGTGTGGGGCCAGAGGAAAAATCTTCGCTGAGTTGATGAAGTTGAAGTTTCGTTCAGGGCGTGAAGGAGACAGCCAATCAGAGGGCCGTTATTTACATGGGCTCGCTGATTGGCTCTCGCGGTGCCTCTTTAGAACGTTACTTTTAGACCTTCATAGACCGAAAAGTCCCCCGCTGGGGGTGAGGAAAGGCTCAGAACCTCCAGGGTTTCATGTAGGGCTCCCCAGGCCAAGATTTGAGGGAAGATGGGGAGCTTAGACATAGTTTTGTCCAGCTGTCACGAAACAAATGACCAACTTGAGGCTAGAGGGACAGAGAAGTGGAGCTTGGCCTGAAACCACGAGACAAGTTCGACCTAGCGCTCTAGAGTGGGCCCAACCGGGACACCAAGACTGTGGTCACATTGGCAGTGGAGAGGAGGGGCTTGGTCCTGGCAGCGCCTCTCATCCAATAGCATGGGAAGGACCGATTCAGTGGTTTGAGGGGCAGGAGCAGGGAAACCTGGTGGTGCTGGTCTTGTTTGTGTTGGGACAGTGTGGGTGGTATCACCATGTTGGCGATCCCGCAAATAATGCAGCCCCAGAAGCAGGCCAAGCTGACCCCTGAGGTCATGTTTCACCCGACAGCCTGGGCAAGCACGCATGAACACATGAGAGCCCAGAGAAGTGAGTTTGCTCTGCAGGGAGTGGCACTGGGCAATCCGCAGCTGCCCCACACTGCCCCTCATCCACACCCCCGGGTCCAGCAGACACTGAGTCACTCTTGGGGAGTGGGGAGAAGTCAGAACATTGGCAGCTAGGACCAGAGAAGGAGTTCTCTAAGAAGGCCTCCACCCTGCCTTCCCCACTGAGTCGGTCCCATCCACCCATGCTGGGAAAAGGGCCCCCTGGGGTTGCCATTTGCCAATCCTGCCCACCCTCCTGGCCCACTTTCCTCCCCAGGGGGCTCAGCATAGGTGACTCAGGACTTGGAGTGTGGCTGTTAAGGGGCGAATGTGGTGGTGGGAGGGCCTGAGTGTGCGTGGCTGAGGCTGGAAAGTTCCTCCACCATCTGCCTGTGGCAAACTGGGGGGCAGGTAGAAGTCACTCTAGTGGGGTTCTAACCCTGCCCCAGTTCTTTCCCAGTGACACAGCATGGAGACCCAGCTCTGTCACTCAACTCCATACGGACTTCACCCAGAGCCTGACAATGTATAAGAAGGAGTTGCTATGCCTGTGAGTCCTTGCATGCCTGCAGCTGGCCTTGTGACATGCCCCTGTGGGATCTTGGGCTGCAGCATCAAGTGCTAAGGCAAACACACCCCATTTGCGGAACACACAAGGACCCCACAGCCAGTGCCAGGACATCTAAGAGACTCCACCACCTGCCAGCCCCCAGAGCTTAGCCTGCTAATGAACCAAACTTGCTGTGTGACTTTGAATGCAGCTTGCACATCTCTGGGCCATAAACTGCTCTGTAAAACCATGACCTTCTGAATGTACCATTCCTAGTGGTGGCAGCTGCAGAGAAATCATAATAGCAGGGGCAGGGTCCAAGGGCCTGAGAAGCTGGTTCAGCCTGTGGTCTGGGAGCCAAGTAGGGCAGGGACAAGATTGCCAAGTCCCACGGTTCTCACCAATTCTCATAATCTCATCTCTCCTCTTGTCTTCCTGCCCATCTCATAAATAGCAGGAGGCTGGGCTGGGTCTGGGGCAGGAGCAGGGAGCTGCATGTGTGCGTTTGTGTGTGTGTGTGTACACACACATGGGGAGGGTGTGAGAGCCTTCCCCCCACCCCCGCCACTGCCGCCATCGCGCTCTGAGAAGCTGAGATAATCCCTCGCCATCTGTCTTGTGTTGCTAACCCACTCAGCCGGACAGCTGCCCGGGCCGCAGCTCTTCAGGCGAGCAGGCGGGAGAACAAGGGGCATGGGGGGAGCTAGCCAGCTCTGAGGACCAGGAAGCAGGGACACTCAGTCCTCCCACCCCAGAATACCTCTGCTCTAGAAAGGGAAGGTAAAGTCAGAGAAGGGACGGGCAAGGACTTCCCCCATGCCTGCTTCTGAACCTGGGAAGGAGTGGAGGAATAGAGACCACTCCCTGGTCTGGGGGTTGGAGGCTGAGCCTTTCAGAATGCAGAGAGGTCAACAAGATGACCACCTGGCTTATGTTCTCATGAGTCCACACAGGTCACTGATGGGAGGGGTGCAGTAGGACTAATCAGGCCTTCTGGGCCCAGGGAAGGGAAGAAGAGGTCGTTTCATCCTTCCCCAGCCTCCAGACAGGCCGGTGACCAGGCCTCCAATGGTCAACTTCCCAGAGCCGAGCAGGCTTATAGGATTTGGGGTGGGTAATGCTTACTGTGCAGGCCCATGTAATGCTCAGTTCTGATGATGAAACTGAGACTCAGAGAGTGACTTGCCCCAGCTCACTCCCATGAGTGGAGGAGCTGGGACCTGGAACAGGCTTCAGGCTCCAGCAGCCCTAGCTCTGTTGCCAGTTCTATCTGCCTGCTCTCCATCACCAAGTCCCTCACCCTGCCTCACCTTCCCAACCTGTGGCTCTCCCGGCCTGGGGCTCTGATGTTCTGCCAGCTGAAGCCCAGCAACCAGATTCTCAGTATGGTCTCAAAGCAGTCCAGGGGATTTCAGTCATGACAAGCAGAGCATGAGGAAGGATGAAACCATGCACCTCAGTGTGGGCCTCCACCCACCGCCCCCTCCCTGTCAATCATGTTTCACCTCTCCCACTCAATTAGCATGCTTCCACACACATCCACTCTCAAATACAGATCACACACACGCATGTGATCACACAGACAGGTCCTCACTCAAAAAAGACAGATAAACAGTCACACCCACAGGGCTTATAAACATGCAATCTTACAGATACAAAGGCAAACCCAGACAGCCTCCCACCTCCTCACACCAACCCCAGCACTCACACCAAACACAGACTCCAGCACTCACACCAAACACACATTCCACCCTCACAACCTCCACACACTGCAGACTCCCAGTTCCTAAATCTCACTGGACTCCAACCTCCCAGGTACTCCATCTTACTCCACATGAAGCAGTAACCCTCCAGGGCCAGTGCATTTGTAGGAGTGGGGACCAAGCAAATAGAGGTCTGCTCTGTCCTTACTGCCTATGGGTGAGGGCCCTCCTTCAAGGTGCTGGTAAGCCCCCATCCCCTCCCCATCCCCCAAGACCTTGGAGAGCTTCCACCTGGCCACAGATCCAAGAGAACAGTCCTCACCTCTTGCCCACAGTGGCTCACAGCTCTCCTAGGCCCAGGAGGAGGAAGGGACCAAGGGTAGGTAGGGAACTGCCTCTCTTCTGAGGGGCTCAGCTTGCCGGGAAGTGACACGTACCAAAATAATCTGACTGGCAGTGTTCTGAGACCCCACGGAATCCAAGTCCTGTTCGTGATCCAACCACTACATACCCTTCTTCCTAAACTGTTACCTCTCTGCCTTTTCCCCACTCTCACCAGCCCTTAAGGGACCCTGGAAGCAAAGGTGAGCTGACCCCCTCCCACTCCAGGCTGGAATCCAGCTCTCAGATCACTGCGTTCTCTGTAGCCAGAGGGAACTCCTCTCTAAGCCCAGCTCCCCCACAGCTAAGGAGAGCCCAGGCTCCAGATACACTCACACACTGATTCACACACAGTGTGGCACACTCACACCTGCCCTCACGCAGATGCTGACCTGACACATCCTCACACACCCTTACAGCCACACACACACTGTCACCCCTCCTGCTCTCACATGCTCACTGTCACTCTCATGCTCAGCCACACCTCGCCCTATCACACTCACTGCCCTACCTGAGCAGGCTGCAGCTTGGGGAGGGGGGGCGGGCCTGAAGTCCGAAGATAGATCACTGCCAGAGGCCCAGAGGCTGGTGTTGACAGCCCAGTTGCGCAGGGAGAGGGGAAGGGCAGCCACTGAGGCCTGGAGGGTCTTGAATAATTCAGGGTGGTGGTGGCGTTGGTGACCGCAGCCTGTCAGCTGCAGGGAAAGGCTGGTGCCTAGATTGTTCTGGGAAGCTGGCTCACGGTGGTTTGAGGAGAGTCAGCCCAATTTGAGGGCTCACCAAATGCACAGAGCACTTTTCCCACACGCTTTCACTGTTCATCTCACAAGGGCCTGCACAGCAGGCATATGGCCCCATTTTACAGGTAGAGAAACTAAGGCTTTCATGAAGGAGAGCTCACAGCTACGAAGCAGGGGCTTCCAGGCTCCCACCTGCACCCCTCTTCCCCATACCCACATATACCCCTGGAGAGAGCTTCCTCTGGTCATTGTGCCCAGATAACGATGAGAGATGCCAGCCATCTGAAGACAGTCTGGAGTGTGGTGCCGGGCCTGAATCCAGGAAGCACCTGGATTAGTAGAGTGCTTGCACTTAGCAGGCACTCAGTTGGTGCCTGCTGACTGAAGGCACCACGCAGAGGCGGCACGGAGCAGCCTGGGGCCATACCTCTGCCTCTTACCCAAGTTGCTAAACCTCTCTGAGCCTCAGTTTCCTCGTCTGTAAGATGGGCACTAAGTGTATTGACCTCATGGGATGCTGGTGAGGACTAACGGAAAACATACCTAAGCCAGTTAGCCTGGGGTCTGGTCCACAAGAAGGGCTCCACATTGCACCTAAATTGTGATGCGGATAGCCTTGCCACAAAGACAGACAGCCACAAGGCGCTGGTCTGTGCACACACACACTCTGCCTGGGGCATACTCTACTGTCCTTTGCTGTTGTCTCCTCTTCAAGGATGAGTGCTTCTGCCACTTTCTCCAGGATGACAGCCGTGGACTCCTGCCAGATTCACCACCCCCTTGCTGACCTCCCCACCGCCCTCCTTGGCACCCAGGTGGCAGACCTCCTATGGGTCTTGCTGTCTTCTCTACCTTGTATGCTGAGGGTAGGCCCAGCCTCAGAGTCTGGACATAGTAGGTGCTTGCATGTTGCCTGCTAAATTGACAGCCCTGTAACCATGTCAGCACAAAGCAACCAGCATTTTGGGTGCATCTACAGTTAAAATAAACCACTGAGGTCATGGGTCTGTTCTCTCTACAAAAACAAAAATACCCCACTAGTCGTGTCTGATGAGAACCATAGCAAAAGATCAGAATGTGGTGGCTTTACCCAGAAGCCAAAAGTGTCAGGCTCCAAGCCATGTCCCTGACCTGACGGGGCACCTGCCCAGGCCCAGGGGTGCCAACTCCCAAAGGCAGCTGGCATGTGACTACTGTGCCCAGTAGAGAAAGGCAGGCACTGAGTCCCCAGAGCCCAGAGCCCCAAGGAAATTATGGAACATTCTCCATATTTGATTCAAAATAAAAACCACAGTAAACCATAGACCCAAAACTTATACGTCGGCTGAAATTAAAATAGCTTCTTGCTACGTTTTCTGGTTTCAATATTCTGGATAAGCTCATGGAAGCTGAATCAGGCAATTTGTCTATCTCTTGCTTTGTTTCTGCTGTTGCCCCTGCTTTGCAGGGATCTCAGCACACGCTTGGTCTCCCCTCTGAAGCAGACCCCAGCTGGGTCTGGGGGTCCCCTGGTCCTGCACCCCCAGGGCTGACCCCCCCAGGAAAGTATCCATGCCTATGCACACCCCTGCCATGGGTTCTTGTGGCCCCTCAGGAGGGGAGCAGAACCATGGCCCAGCCTTGGCCAAGAGGTGCCCCCAGCAGACCTCTCTCTGCCACTGCTCCCCACAAGGTTTCCAGCACCCCCACCCCTCCCTCTTCTGGGGAACCTTGCGGCTGGGCCCGTGCCTGCGGCGAGTCTCACCCCAGTATTATTTTAGTCACAGACAGACACGAGGCAGATGGTGACAACATCCCTTCCCCGCTCCCCACTGACGAGCCGTTGCCGCCCTGAAGCCTCAGGGTTCTTCTCCCTCAGGAATATTTCAGTCCCGACTCAGTGGCTAAATGCGGCTGCTCGTGTGAGACAAGCACACATCTGCGCCTCCTCCTCCCTACCCCCTACCCATTTCCTGGGGCTGAGCAGAGAGCCCTGGGGAGGCCCTGCCCACTTGCAGCTCTGCTCCCTCCTCCCAGCTGCCCTACTGTGTGCCTGGCATCATGCCATGTACATGGTACCACTGGCAGAGGGCAGTTACTGTGCCCACTTTACAGATGAGGAAGCTAAGGCTCAGAGTGAAGCAGGGGCCATCCCAGGTCACAGAGCAGGAGAGGAGGCATTCCCTTGGGTCCCAGTACACGCTGGAGACAGACATAGGCTCCTCCGCTCCTTCCCCACCCCTCAGTCCTCCACCTTACCACCCAATGCCTACTCCAGGCAACTTGCCTTCCTAGAAGCTCAGTGTTTCATTGTGCCTACTCTCCTGCACCAACCCACAACCCAGGGCACGGGGCTAGCCAAGTGCTGACATGCCCCCTTGCCCCGCTGGTCCTAGCGCAATGCAAATTCGGCTGCTGGGGACAGGTTGGACAAATGCAGAAGGAGGAAGCCTCTGGCGTGAGACAGACTTGGTTTCAAATCCCAGCTGTTATGACTCTGGGCAAATCACTTCACCTCCCAGGACCCGTTTCTTCATCTATAAATGCACAGCAGCAGTATCGCCTCTCCTCACCCCTCATTCAATGAGTGACTGCTATATTCCCAGCACCTAGAGCAGGGCCTGGAACACAGCGTGTGCTTAATGCGTTATTTGTTAAATGAATGACACATGTAATGAGATGAGCATCAGCTCTGGCTCGGTGGAGCTGGTCTTCGCTGCAGCCCCACATTCAACAAGGCCTGGGGCCAGCTCTGCCTCGGTGGCCCACTAGGAGCTGAAGTTGGTCTCAAAAGCCAAACAGAGCCTTGTCTCTAGGCCTCTCCCCAACCCCCATAATGCAAAGCGCTTGGAGCCTTAGGGAGTGAGCCATGGGTGCGGGGCGGGGGCATAACAGGTCTGGGTGCCAGCCAAATGTGGGATTGGGCTGAGGTTGTTTTGGTTCCCTCATGCCCCCTTCTCCAGCCATGCACCGTGACTGGCTGACTGGCCAGGGGCGCTGAAGCTGGACAAGGGCTCTTTGAGCGCTTGGGACACTTTCTGGGCAGGTGAGGACATGTCTATTCCCCGTCAGGCCTCCCGGCTGTGGGCTCCCTACTCCAGCACAGTCCAACCCCCCACCCCCTGCCACGCCTCAGCTGGCCTTCTGGGGCTGGGCCAAGATACACGCCGACAAACCAGCACACAAAAACACCATCCACCACAGTGACACTCACACCCTGTAAAGATATACAAAGTATATACACACAAATGTACACCACCCGACTGAAAGCACAGAAACAAACACAGACGCGACTCAGTGTGCACAGCAAGGTGCACACGTTCACAACGACTGTGTTGCAGAGCATGCCATGTGCACCCAGCACAGACTGTGTGTATCCACACAATCACGCAGCATGGCTGCGAACACGTGTGTGGCACAACCCAGCCCAGGCACACAGACGTGCACAGCAGAAGGAATGAGGCCAGTCTTGCACCAAAGCTGAGGTCCGTCTCCCCATACCAGACCAGCAGCTCAGGGACAGGTCGGGGCCATCAGAAGAGGAGGAGGGCAGGCTGGGTCCAGGGTGGAGGTGTGTCAGGGTCAGTTCTGCAACCCCCACTTTCTTTTTTTTTCTTTTTTTTTTTTTTTTGAAACAGAGTTTTGCTTTTGTTGCCCAGGCTGGAGTGCAGTGGCTCGATCTCAGCTCACCACAACATCTGCCTCCCGGGTTCAAGCCATTCTCCTGCCTTAGCCACCCACATAGCTGGGATTACAGGCATGCTATACCGTGAATGACTAATTTTGTATTTTTAGTAGAGACAGGGTTTCTCCATGTTGGTCAGGCTGGTCTCGAACTCCTGACCTCAAGTGATTCACCCGACTCAGCCTCCCAAAGTGCTGGGATTACAGGTGTGGGCCGCTGAGCCCAGCTTGCAACCCCCACCTTCACAGGACTTGGGCCAAGGCATCAGTCCCTGCAGCAAGCAGGTTTTTTTGTGGTAAAGAAGGCAGGACCCTCACCCCTAATCACACTGATGTGTCACTACCAATCTCGCCCCTCAGCAGCCACCTCTGCCCGGGTCACACTCATGCATGGCATAAGAAACTGGATGAGGCTACTCACTGTTATCACAAAAGCCAATACAAAGGAAAAGAGAGGCTGAGTGAGAGTGCAGCTGTGGAGACACCTTTCAGCAGAGAGTTCTGGGCAGCAGACCACCCTCTGCCAATCACGGTCAGTCAGGAAGGTGAAGTTCATCGAAGTGACCACACATCACCCCCACCGTGAGAACACAGCCCTGAGGCCAGCCAGCTTGGGCAGGCCTCCTGGTGGAGGACGAAGGCCTTCCTCTCTGGCACTCCCTGTCCTTGGCACATCTCATCCGTTGCTTCCCATCTCTCAGCACTGCTCTATGGTGCCCAGTGCCCTGGCACTGGCCTTTGAGGGCACTAGTTATCTGACCCCATGCAGAGCTCTTTTCTCCAGGCCTTTACCAATGCTGTTTCCTCCACCAAGGGTGCATTCCCAGCCCCCACTTTTGGCAGCCACTCCATCCATCAAAATCAATGCCACCTCCCCAAGAAACCTCCCCAGTCCCTGCCAGGAAAAGAATTCTCACTTCAGTGCTGGAATGAGAGATGAGAACCCATGTGGGGCTCTGCTGGACCCCAGTGTCCTAATCAGCAAAATATGAAAGACACGGCCCATCACCCCTGAGAGCAGCAGAGACAGAATAACAAGTGCAGTGATTCCCAAAGCAGGGTCCACAGACCCCTGGGAGTCTCCCAGACCTTTTCAGGGGTGGATGAGGTCAAAATTATTTTACTAATAATACTATGATATTTGACTTCTTTATTATGTTTAAGCAGTACTGGGTAAAACTGTTGGTAGCTTAGCACAAATCAAACTGTATTAGGAATCATATTTGGTACTCTTAAACACATATATGTGGAATTCATGTAAAACACTTCTATAGCATTCCAAAGTCAGCCAGGAGCAGTGGCTCGTGCCTGTAATGACAGCACTTTGGGAGGCCGAGGCGGGCAGATCATGAGGTCAGGAGTTCGAGACCAGCATGATCAACATGGTGAAACCCCATCTCTACTAAAAATACAAAAATTAGCCAGGTGTGGTGGCACACCCCTGTAGTCCCAGCTACTGGGGAGGCTGAGGCAGGAGAATCACTTGAAACCAGAAGGCAGAGGTTGTGGTGAGTTGAGATCCCACCACTGCACTCCAGGCTGGGCAACAGAGTGAGATTCTATCTCAAAAAAACAAACAAACAAACAAACAAAAAAACCCGAAGTATATTGGCTGCCTCAAGAAAAGCATTTATGCCATTGTTTTAAGTTGCGAGCTGAACTAGCTGACATTTTTGTGGAATGTCATTTCTACTTGACAGACTGACAGGCAGTCTTGGATATCTGGCAGTAATCTCTCACAGATAATGAAATAAACCAGTCACTTCTAGAAAAACAACTCACAGTATTTGTTGCCAATGATAACATTGTTCTGTTTTGTTGTTGTCTGTCAGTTTCCTGGTACATTTCTGATGAAACTGTTGGTAATGGCGGGTCCTGGTGGCTCACGCTTGTAATACCAGCACTTTGGGAGGCCGAGGGAGGTGGATCACCAGGTGAGAAGCTAAAGACCTTTTCGCCAAGATGGTGAAACCCTGTCTCTACTAAAAATACAAAGGCCGGGCACAGTGGCTCAAGCCTGTAATCCCAGCACTTTGGGAGGCCGAGGTGGGTGGATCACGAGGTCAAGAGATCGAGACCATCCTGGTCAACATGGTGAAACCCCGTCTCTACTAAAAATACAAAAAATTAGCTGGGCATGGTGGCACGTGCCTGTAATCCCAGCTACTCAGGAGGCTGAGGCAGGAGAATTGCCTGAACCCAGGAGGTGGAGGTTGCGGTGAGCCGAGATCACGCCATTGCACTCCAGCCTGGGTAACATGAGAGAAAGTTCATCTCAAAAAAAAAAAAAAAAAAAGTTAGCCGGGCACGGTGGCAGGTGCCTGTAATCCCAGCTACTTG